AGGGGCATACCTAATAGATTTTCCTATTTTATGAGGCTTAAAAATTATGATTATTTGGTGATACTTTATTCTTTGAGTTCAATCTTGCAGGCCATTCGTCTGAAGTATCTACATCCAGATATTGAACTTCAAAATTATGCTTTGAATGTTATGGACATGCTTCGTATGGATATGTCTGTTGATGCCCATGCACTGGTATGTAGTTGAGAAAATTGTATTCATTAAACTTTTATATTATTCTTAGTGATTAGATGGGAATATGATATGCTTTGACTCTGAGATAGCTCATTCTCTTATTTCTAGATTCTTTTATAGAGTGATAGATTGGAACAGAAAGAAAAAATGAGAGAATAAGGAAATTTGAAATGATATGCTTTGGTTAATCCTCTGTTTTACCTTTCTCGTGCACCTGCTGTATTCTTATCTGTCTTGCTGTCTGATATTCTCTCAGTTCCTAATTCATATTATGTTGAAGTATATAAAATAGAATTAACTCATGCTTGTCTTATAGTGGCCCATTTAAGGGAAGATTTAAGCATGGTAAAGTAACCATTGCAAACTTTTCTCATTTTTCAGACCCAATGTTTGTAAATTTTTTATTTTCTTTGGAAGGAAAAAAAAAGTTTTTTTCAAATTTTGTTTCATTATATTTTGGGGATGGGTTCTGACAGACAGTGCTGATAATCTGCGTAATATCAGATTTAAGCTTTTGGTAAATTTGAGAAATGTCTTAGTGAGTCCTTTATCTTTGGACAATCAATGCTTAGTGTTTTATTTTGTAGGAATGATGTTATAAAAGTTTGAAGCATTGCTAGTTTGACTTGTACTAAGGTGCTCTTTTATAAACTGAAAAATTAAATACTGAATTTGTGTTGTTTGTTATGTTGTGGAGAATTAAGTGCTGAATATAAATATATTGTTTGATAATTATAGATGCTGAATTCTGAAAATTATTCATTTTAATTTTTGCCCTTATTTTCATTACATTTTATATTATCACAAGTAAAATAAAATTCTTAATAACATATTTTGATTTGAATACAACTATTAAATATTGGAAAACATACAACTATTAATAAAAAATATTCATAAATAAAAATATCACCGAAATAAAAAAACGTAAATGTTTAAAATTAAGATCCAAAGTTGATATAATTCAAGTATTTAAATTTACTGAATAAGTAGTTGATTTGCTATTTGCTCTCTTAAGTTTATCATAAAATCAGATCAACTTTTGCTGCTCCTTCATTATTATTCTGAGGCATCCTCAAATTATCACCACCTTCATTATCAGCTGGCTCGAAGAGAGTATCAGTAATAGGTAATTTTCAGATGTAGTTATACATAGCTACACAAGCAATAACAATGTTCCTTTGTACTAGAATTTAACATGGGTTCTGCATTTAATATTAGTGCTGACAAGTGACCACAGCTGTTTAAGTCTAAAACCATTTTACATTTAAAACTAAATAAAAGTGTGCGTGTGTGTTTGTGTGTATTCCTATGGCCATAAGGATATGAAATAGAAGTCCCAACTGGATGTGTATCAATATAGTATATATTTTTTGGGATATAAAAGTAGTGACCTAATCATCTATCATCTTATAGAGAACAATATAAACCTTTAATTAACAACTACTAGTTGTTAAGGCCTAACAAAGCCTTGCACCAACAATTATGACAAAACAGGAGATATTAATTGCTGTCAATTATATCCAACAAAGACAAATGTTACAAATTTATGACATTAAGAGGTCAACTTAGGTATGCTAGAATTTTATATTCATCAACCAGCACTAATGTGCTTTAAAACAGCAACTCAATTTTTACCAACACATGAATTTCATATTGCAATATGTTGGCTACCTACATAAACAACACTTTAAAAGTTTACTACCATGTCATTACATAACTTGAATATCCTGACTACAACAAAGGGGCCTCGGCCCAACACATTAAGTTTTCAAATTACAGCTTTCTTTTCCAAACACAACTAGGCAGCGGAGTGACTCAAAGGGGAATAGCTAGGAGATGTCATTACCTATCCAACAAGGCTGATTTTCACTCACCAATGGAGTTCCCAATCGATCACTTATTTGCACATCGATTAAATGGGGTGAGTCTTTCATAAATCAGTGAGCGGGTGAGGAAAGGAAACAAGCATAGAGGGAAAATGCTAGCATCCTGCCATTGGAGCAGAAGGTTGGATCAAGAGGGTAAGAAGTCTAGTAGAGGGAAACAGAAATCTTTGAGCAATTTATTTAAGTCGAAGGGAGCTGTTGCATGTTGGGTTCCTTTTAAACTTGAGTAAACAGAGGGTTCTTTGAGGAGTCTTAAGCTCCACCATAGTATTTTGGGGTTGTGACATTTACCAAGAAGTGAAGAGAGACCCTTGGCTAGAGAGATTTGTTGGAGAATTGGTTTAAAAGTTAAAAAGGTAAGAATGGTGAGTTAAATGTAGGACTTAAGCTTTGAATCTCATTGCTAGTGGAATGTTATTAAAATTATTAAATGTTTTGGAAATATTTGTTGCTAGGAGGCTGGATAAAGCAAAAGAAATAGCTATGGGAAAAGGGAAATTAAAGGTCCAAAATACAAGTTTTATTGAAACTAGGTGGCTTTCCAAAGATAAGCGAGTTAGAAACAAAATGTGGCATGTAATTGTGATGTTGAAATTCTGGTTGAAAGCTAGTTTGAAATCTAAGTTGAAGTGTTAAGAATGTTGATATACAGATTTGGTTGAAAGCCTAAAGGCTTGCTGGAAGTGTTGGAAATAAAAAGAGCCAAATCGAGTTAGAAGAAGTACTAATTAGTGATAAAAGGGAGTAAGAAGAATTGATAAATTCCCACCAACTAGGTGAGTGGGTGTATTGGTTTTGAACTTATATTCCTAATATATATTTTTATATATAATTATGTTCAATTGGCTGTCTACTTATGCTATAGAAATCTGTTTGTATTGATGTTATATTGGGAAGCACGAGTTGGTAGATGAATTTTGGTGTGCTTGTTTTTAAATGTGATTTGAAAAGTGAACTGTTTATATGTATGTATAAAATACTATACAGCTTTTTTGAAAAACATGGGGAAACAAGCCCTTGAGATATCGATTCTAGATTCTGTTGAAATAGGGTTCTTGGATTAGAGCCATTATAGGTTGTTTGGGAATTATCCAAGTAATCTTTCATAATTTCATGATTGGTGGTCAATCCATGCTGTTGCATATTACTTTTAATTTATTGAGCATTATAATTTGCATTACATTGTTTTTGAATGTTGATATTGCAAACTCACATGGAGGGAATTTACCAATTTTTCTTACTCCTCTTTTTCACAGTTTAGTGCTTCTTTTAACTCAATTTGACTCTTTTTATTTCCTACACTTACAGCAAGCCTTTAGGCTTTCAATCGAATCTATCTTTGGGGAGCCAAGTAGCTCGAATAAAACTTGTATTTCGGACCTTTATTTTCTCTTTTTCCAGCAGCTATTTCTTTTGCTTTATCAAGACTCTTAGCAACAAATATTTCAAAAACATTTAATAATTTTAATTCCATACCATTAGCAAGGAGATTCAAAGCTTAAGCCCTACATTTAACTCATTATTCTTAACTTTTTAACTTTTAAATCAATTCTCCAAACAAATCTTCAACAAGTCTTTCCAGCCGAGGGCCTTTCTTTATTGCATAAAATCAATATTGGCACTTAGCCATTCTTTACTTAAACACATTCATTAAACTCAAAGCTGTTACCTTCTTGGTGAATGTCACAGCTCCAAATTACTATGGTGGAGCTTCAAACTTAAATAAATTTCTTAATAGCATTAAGATAGATTTGAAAAGTTGTCCCTCGCCAACTACTTATTGGCTCAGTATTAATAGATTTGACTTATAAATTCAAGAAACCTTCAATTGATTTCTAACCAAAATTTTCATTCATAAGGCTGATCCGTGCTTGAGGGCCTTAGATGACTCGTCTAATCACTGAACATGCTGGCAACTGGTGGGGATCCAGCTATTGGCTTGAAATTGTTCCATTAAGATAAATGAGATTTGCAATAATAATCCTCCTTTTTGGATAAAAGGCAGGAATGAGATTTGCATTTGGTCTATTAAGTGGCACTTATTAGGTAATGCTGTGTGAGAAATTGTGGGAAAGTTCTGTATTGAGGAGAATAACATTCTTTTGTTGGAAAAGTATAAGAACACTAATTTAGAGGGTTGATGTTGGCATCAATTTCTTTGCCGTTTTCAAACAGAAGGGCAGGATGGCTAACGGCGCATTGTATCTGTATTATGCTTCCTCTTGGATTAACTTCACCTAATCACTATTCGGCAATTTAGAAGTAAAATCCTAGAGGCTACATCAATAAGATTAGCCCAACTGAAATATAAGTACAAGAAATTCTCAAATGGAATAGCCATAAATCTGTGATTAATGTTTTTTTTCTAGATTCTCATACTTTCTTGCAATCCAAACATTATCCTCTAGAATTATATTATTGTGACAATCATCTTTGTAGACTATATATGAATAAAGAAAAAAAAAAGAAGAAACCAATGAGAAGGTAAGTCATAGAAATATAAGATCTTGTGAGAATGCTGGACTAGGGTGCAATCAACTTAGAAGAGAGTTTAGGGTTTGAGAGAATCCCCTTACATTAAACAACAAAATGAGAATGAAGAAGCTTTGGAGAAAAACTTAATTATTTATAGCAGTAATGTAGTCCAAAAAGAAAATTTTAAGTGAAATTGACTGAGTGTGTTCTACATCAGGTGATAAGGAGCTCTCTATCTACTTATTTCAACATTTTTTTATTAAAAGAATTCTATTAAGTAGAATTTAATATGGGTTATCAAACGCATTATCAAACAGAATTATGATGTGATATTGTGGTTTCCTTTGAAAGCTAATGAACTTTACCTGTTTCACTGAAGGCATGTGTTCTCTATATCCTTCGTGTTGGTGTAACTGATCAGATGACAGAACCTACTCAAAGGAGCTTTACAGTTTTCCTTGGAAAGCAGGTGTGCTACAAGTGTTTCATTCTCTGCCTTCAGTCTTTATGATTTTTTTTTTTAATGTTTCACATTGCATATTATGGTATCTGTTCCGAAGGTGCTGTTTAACTTTTTTTTTTTTTGGTGTTTTGGGGTGGGGGGGTATGGTGTTGGAAACTTGCAGCTTCAATCTCCAGAGGCCACCCCTTCCATGAAAATTGCCGCTCTACGTACACTATCATATACTTTGAAAACTTTAGGAGAGGTACATTGTTTATGCAAATTTATCTTCTTTCCTCAATGAATTTTTTTTATTAAATCTTGGGTGATAAAATTTTTAATAGTTAGTTTTCTAGTCCTCTTTTCGGATGAATTCTCCAGATAGATCATGATGTGTGCGTATATATTTTTGAAGAAGTTGAGTTACTCATTTTATGTTCTACATTATACCACATGATTTGAATAACATAAAAATATTATAAAATAGTCATAAATTTGGAGTGTAATTGCATTTGATGCTTTTTTAGCATCAGAAAAGGTGCTAACTTGCTCTCATCATCAAGCTTTCTAAGCTTGATATGTATTTTGATTTTCAAGAAAGGTGAAAATTTTTGGAAAATGAAATTACTACCATGGATATAGATATGGATAGATTATTGGTATAAATTGTGGAGATACAAACACATAATATAGAAAACTTCTTTCAACTTTTTATAAACTATGTGTCATCTTTGTTTCATGGACTCAGCCACTTTTAATTGAGGTACCTTGTGTTGCAACTACACGGCATTGCATAGAGGTATGGAATTGTGTCACCTTCCCCGCTAATGCTAGAGACACACAATGGCATTTGTTGTCAAAGCACCATCATAGGCAGAGTATGGTTCAGTTAGAAAAATCTTGTGTTGTCTGAGGAATATTTGACAATCAGAGATGCTAATCAGGTAGGTAGGATGGGGTTAGGGATGGGTTAATTTGGTTTTCATCATTATGGGCTTTAGTTGTTTTAGGTTTCAGGTCGATGGAGATCAGGTTGCAGGTCAATGGCTTGGGTTTTTGGGTTCTGATAAGCTTTTTCCATTTCTGCTTTTGAAGCCAATTGCATTTGAGTTCTGTTATGTTCAGATTTGAGCTGTTGGCTTCTTAAGTTGATTCCAGTTCCGATTTTTGGGCTAGTCGTACTAGTTTAGTTCTGCCTTTACACTTCTTACCCAGCTAGTGGAACCAAACTGTTATTTTTGTTGTCAGCCTTAAGTTATTATTTGACCAAAAAAAAAAAAACTAAAGTTATTATGTTTGTCTTGGTGGTGCAGTTTAGCTGCTTCATTCCCACATCCATGAACATTTACGTATTTTGCAGGTTTTGCCAATGTAGCTGAATGGAAATAGGTCATTGCTAAGTAGGTGATTATGACCCAAATCTTTTTCTTCCTACTTGAGAATATTGTGAATTGCTCTTAGCCTAACTCTCTTGACTGCATTGTGGCTAGATCTAGCTACCTATTGAAATTTAATTCTAATCTGGGCAATACACTTTGGGAAGTGATGAACGCATGATTTATTAGTTTTCTTGGGGTGCATAGAAATGCTAATATACCTATTTTGTTTGGCTTTTGTATGTTAGTTCATGACATAATAGGATTTAAGAAAATCTGACATTAGGGCTATTTGTATGTTTAATCACGTTAATGTTGTGAACTCAATATTTCTTTATGTAGGTTCCACATGAATTCAAGGAAGTTTTGGATAACACAGTTGTTGCAGCAGTATCTCACTCTTCTGAGCTTGTAAGCTCTTAATTATGTATCTCTTACGTTTACCGAAGTTAAACATATTTAGATGCATTCAGAGGTCTTATAAGTTATGAATATGTAGTTGGTTTTATTATTTTGTATATTATTGAAATTGTTAGAAAGAAGATCCCATTCATCTATGTTGAAATAAAATGGAAATAGACAAGCATACATCTCAAAAAGTGACTTTGATTTTGGCACGCGATTTATGGATGGGAAATTAAATTGTATTTTGTAAAATTTAGCATTAATGTTCTAACCTTCCTCTTGTTATTTTTACAATATCCTGTCTCTGCATAATATAATATTATTTGGATATTTATGGATAGGTACGTGTTGAGGCTGCTTTGACATTGCGTGCATTGGCTGAGGTTGATCCCACTTGTGTTGGTGGTTTGATATCTTATGGGGTGACCACACTAAATGCTTTAAGGGAAAGTGTTTCCTTTGAAAAGGTAATTTTAGTAATTTGGCATAAAAGCTTCTATATTTGGGCTGTCATGTGAATGTTCATTTGTCACTGTTATTCACTGAAATTCATTTTAAACCCATGGTTTTAAATATTTTATATAACCACTTGTGGTTTATACTGCTAATCAAACATTTGTGTTTTGTTAAAATTTTACACAAGTTGACTAAATTGCCCTTCTTTTCATATTTAGAATTTTTTAATCTTAATTTAAGTAGAAAAAAGAGCAAGGTCATATGAAAATCAACCTGATTGTTTCACTAATATAACTACTGTTATACTTTTAGAGGTATATTAAGGTGAAAAAGAGTAAAATATATGAATATCTCATTTTAGTTGAAGGTCTAATGTTGTCGCCTCCTTGAGTAGCAGAGTTAATCATAATGAATTCAGTGTCACTTTTGAAACCAAACGCTGCAAATTGAGTTCTGCCTAAATGATATAAAACAAGGAGGAGGAAGAGATCCCTTGACTAGCATATTTCCATCCTCCATCACCTAATTATGAGGGATAAAGTATAATTTTCCCCATTTATTACATTTCCCATGTTCAGTCTAGGATCTCTCCTGATTTGCTTAACTATATGAAGGTCAGTAATTTTTTTTTCTCTTGGTTTAATCAGTAATGCTGTATCAAATTATGCTAATTTCATAATTTTAGTGATAAAGAATGTGAGCATTTTCTTCTGTGTTCTCCTCTGGGGTGTGTATACTAATTTCTGTAATGACCAGAAACACCCATTTACATTCACATCTGTGCACTCACTCGTGCATAGACAGAATGTAGGCCTTGCATTAATTGATATTGAAAAATTTCACCTTAGAAGCTTTTGTTTCTCCTCTCAAATGAAAAGTGTTCCAAATATTTTGGTTAAGCCATAGTAGTGAATCTCATTATTCTGTGCTTACCTTACTATGCTGTAATTGCATTTAGCTGTAGGCATGTAAGAACTGTTTCGACATCAATAACCAGGGATCATGATTTCTAGTTAACTGTGATATACCTATATTATAGCAAATTTCAAGTTTTATGTACTGGATGAAGAGAACTGTTAGGGTTTGATAGGTCAGGATAGCAGAACTTAAATCTCTGTCCATCATTATGTCTGCAATGATCAATTTAGCATAGCCTGATACATATTGTTCTTCTTTTATACATGGTCATTCTTATCTCATTGTTGGATGCGATGTTTCTACATCCAAAATGATCATGGTATAAAGTAACCAAGTTTTGGAGATTCTGAAATTTTTCCTAAGTTTTTTCTAACCACTTACGTATAGAGGATGTAAATTTGTAACAAAACTCTCATATTTTACGCACTGTAACATGCCATGACTCTGGATTTTGTTGATAAACATATGTTATCTCATCTGCGAAGTTCTAACTTCAAACACAGACTATCCTCCTGTCAAATATCTCCATTTTGTAAACTAAATTGGTACCCATCTGGAGGGATCGATATCTGATGTGCCATGTATAATCAGGCAATTTCTAATGTTAAGATTCTTCAGATATCAGTTATGTTGGTGTCTTTTAGCTATGTGGTTCTCTTTTGGTTTTAGGGATCCTTGGCGTTGATTAGGGTTCAATATCTGTGGTTCAAACTTGTTGATGATTGCAAATGAAAATAACAAAAAGCTGGAATTGAAATAATTTGGAATCCTTCTTTGTTTTTAAAAGTCTGGCATACATTGATTTCAACAAATGTCAAGGTTGCTGCATGTTGTTAGGACATGAATGCAACATCAGTTTACCATAGCATGATTCCATGCTAGCATGTTTTTCTGCTTCTATATGTTTTAGCATTTGTTTTAGTAATTATTTGCCATTGTTGTGCATAATGTCTGAAGGTTAGCAAATGCCCTCAAATTTTGAGGGAGAAATTATCCCCACTTCTTGTCAATAATAAAGCTTTTACAGGGTTCAATTGTAAAAAAGAACTCTCAGCTGATTCCTAGCTTCATGTGTTCCATCTCTCTTATCTTCCTCTTTCTTCGCTATCATTCTCCTTTTCTATTTGTCTTTGCGGTCCTTTCTTTTTCTTTAATTAAGCAACAAGAGAAAACTCTTGCTGTTGGTGGTTTTACCTTATCCGAGTTGTAAGGCACCATCATGTTAGTGAGGGGAATGAAAAGATTTTCCTTATGCTTAAAACATTTTGTCGATATAGAAATCTTGAAACATACAAAATAAATGTGATAAATCACAAGATTGTCTGTTAGAAATATTATTTAGCTGAGTAATGAGTGAAAATTGATTATGGGAAAGGAGAGCAGTGTTTTTCTCTTTCCTCATAGCAAATTCTGGCAAGTTTTATTCTTAATGCCCTTACTTTTGATGATGGGGCATCTTATTATTATTTTTTTTAAAAAGTGGAGTGATACTATCCTCCAACCAAAGGTGGGGAAGTCACCAATTTTCTTCAAACTATTCACTCTTTTCTTCTTCCATCTATTTCTGTTTCTCCATTTGCTCATTAGTGATTTATTTATAATATAGTGTTACTGTCACTTTTTTTATTTTATTTTTTTGTGTTTTTCACATATTGCAAGTTTTTTTTTTTCTTGATGATTTTAAAATGTATTTAATTAAGTATTTTAATCCATTGTGTCCAGGGAAGCAATTTGAAAGTTGAGCTTGATTCTTTGCATGGGCAAGCAACAGTTTTGGCTGCTTTAGTTTCCATTTCACCAAAATTACCTCTTGGTTATCCAGCTAGGTAATGTTCTTTTATGACAGTATACTTTCTATGTTCTCCAAAATTCTAAAGTTGTACTTCTTGAGACCTTAGTCAAAATAATCTATTGACACTATATTTTTGGTTCCTACTCTATTGGGTAGTTTAACTTGGAAGTATTTACATGATATTGTCTGTAGATTGCCCAAGTCAGTTCTTGAAGTTTCGAGGAAAATGCTGACTGAATCTAGTAGAAATGCTGTTACTGCCATGGTGGAAGAAGAAGCTGGGTGGTTACTCTTATCATCATTACTATCTGCTATGCCAAAGGAGGTATAGAGTTGTTTCTCTTCTGGGTCATTTTCGTTTCTTTCCTTTTTTTTCCTGGACAAGCATATGCTGGTCATTTTCTGTAATCAGTATTAGTATTTTATGATTCTATTTTTGATGCATGCAGGAGCTTGAGGATCAGGTCTTTGATATTCTTTCCTTGTGGGCTGACCTTTTCAGCGGAAACCCAGAAGATGTTGTTAGACAAAGTGGAGATTTACAATCTAGGATTTGGTAAACCAATGGATAAGTGTGTTGTTCTGTACTGGCTTATGTTATTTGCTATGATTAGTTGTGACTCTTATGCTTCCGCTGTCTGTCTTGGCTTTTATGTTGTATTACTCCCATGGTTTTATCTAACCTAGATTTTACATGGTAGCTTGTCCGACTATTGTCAGACAAACTCAAATTATAGTACTTAAGATGTTTTTGTTGCAATATACTTCATTCCTTTCTTTGTCCTGGATAGATTTTATTTTATTTTTGACTTTGGCACATAGTCCTGGAGAAATATTTGATTAATTTTTTCTTTCACATTTAAAATTTATTGATTTCCATAATAGTGTGGATTATTTTTAATCTTCAAATGCCAAAGAAAGTGAAAAATTAAAAGAAAAATAAAATCATAAGTTATAAAATTTGAGGTCCACAAAGAATGCAGGTCATTATTTTGTGATGTATTGAAAGGAGACTAGGCATTAAATTTGGGTGAAACTTAAGCCATCCTGATTATTAACTATATCATGACCAGACTCCTCAAATAACATTATAAGCTTTGAATGTGAACATAGACATTGTGGTATATGGCTGCTTCCAGTTGGGATAGGGTTAAGTTAAATTTGCAGGTAAATCCTTACTTTTTCTTTCCAGATTTATCTGACAAAGGAGTTAGTAGCTGGCTGTATGTGTCCAGAATTCGACAACTATAATTTCTTTTTAACTTGAAGTATCGCAATATTAAGAATTTGATCTTGATACTCTTAGGTTTGGACACTTACTTAGAAGTTGGCATTTTTGAAACCTTGCCACCCCAGCACTCCCAAAAGCAGCTCTTCCTTATACTCTCCTTTGATCTTCTGAGATTTTACTTGTTTTAGTTTCATTTGCCCCCAAATTTTTTTTCCTCTTTTGGGGCCAGTGCTTGCTTTCAGGCTCGTCATTGGCAGCCTTTATGGGACGGATCGAATTGATATTTTAAAAAAATGGAATAAGTGCTTGGTCCAACTGGGCATGGTGATGAAACTTTTTTGCTGTTCCATCGCCTGTTATTCTGTCCTAAGAATCTGAATGAAATTCATTCCATCTTGTCATTTATAACAAAATTCACTGATCTCTCTCTCTCTCTTTCTCTCACTCTCTCTTTCCTTTTTGTTTTCTTCTTCTTTCTTGAATGAAAAGTGTAGTCTTTCAAATCATTCTTAAATTACAGATTATTTTTATATTGAAAGGTATATTATTATGGTTTTTCTATTGATAAGTTGGTGCATAATTGGTTATTATCTTTTTCTGTCTTTCCTCTTTTTAGTGTGTGGTCTGCAGCAATTGATGCACTTACGTCATTTGTACGATGCTTTGTTTCATCCAATTCGACAATTAGTGGGATTTTACTTCAACCGGTGATGCTATACCTCAATAGGTATGGCTTAATATGCTTTTTATCCAACAAATCCCTCATCCCCTCTTTTATACTATTCTAGCATAACATATTATTATATTATAAATTTGAGTTCCATTGCACAACTGCATGTACAGAATTTTTTAATATGCATTGCAAAGCAGGGCTTTGTCCTATATCTCTCTGTTGGTAGCCAAAGAACAACCAAATATTAAGCCTGCAATGGACGTATTCATTATCAGAACACTAATGGCCTATCAGTCCCTTCCTGATCCTATGGCCTATAAGAGTGACCATTCTCGGATTATTCAACTATGCACAGTTCCCTATAGGTAATTACTTGAATCATATTACTTATTCCATCTTTTCATTTTTTCTTTTTTGAAAATGATGAAGAGTCAGATATTTTGTTCTCTTGAAAACATGAATGATCGATTTGGCTGTTTGCTCCTTCATCTTGTGCTATGACAAAGAAATGCTTCTGGATGTGAGGAAAGCTCATGCTTAAGGTTCCTGTTGGACAGAAGAGATGCATGGTTGGGCCCTTGGATTCCTGGCAGGTGTCTGACTTTCTTTTTGTGATAATTTTTCTTTTTCTTAAGTTTTGTTAGATATGGTAGTATTTGTTAATTAAGGTTCTTCACATCCTTTCGTGTTTTAACTAGCTTGACAACATTCAATTTTGCATCTATTTTTTATTTTTAGCCATTTTTTTGACTTAAATTCATTTCTTCAATCATAAAATTTAAGAGTTTTCCTCCTTGTTGGTTGTCTTTTCTCAGGGATTGGTTTGAAGATGAACTTCGTGCTTTTCAAGGAGGAAAAGATGGGCTCATGCCTTGTGTATGGGATAATGAAATTTTGAGTTTTCCTCAGGTAATTAGTTATTTTTTGTACCTCAGCTTTGGTAATGGGGGAGGGCTGAGTGAGAGCACTGAGATCATTTTGATAGGAGCATAGAAAGTATTCAATTTGTTCCTCTGTATCCTTTGTTTCCCTCTGCTACCATCTTCTGTTATCCATCATGGTAAAGATTCTTAGCTCATATGTTTAGTATGTTTTGCAAGCTTCAGTGCATACTGTTTATCCCACCTTCTTGTGTTTTTCCATCTATGCAGCCAAGAAAATTTCTCTCTCTTAATTCAGATGCAACCTGAGTGGCTATCTTTTCAAATATAACTTATGGGTCATGCTCATATACACACGATTTTGTGTTTTCAGACTAATCTTTTACTTTTCCTTTAATTCAGATGGCATATATTTTTTCTCCATGACCAATGATTTAGTACTTGCTAACACTTTTTGTTTTTTGTTTTTATTTAATTTTGGGTAGCCGGAGACTATAAATAAGATGTTGGTAAATCAAATGCTTCTGTGCTTTGGAATCATATTTGCTGCTCAGGTAAGATTATCCTATGTTGTTTGGTGTTTAATTATCTTTGTTTCATTTAAAATTATACTATGTTGTTTGGTGTTTGGTTTTCTTTGTTTCACTTAAAACTCTTCTCCAAATTATTTCAACATAAGCTGGATTGTCAAATGGCAGAGTAGTGGTGGTATGCTGTCACTTCTTGGAATGATGGAGCAGTGTCTAAAAGCCGGGAAAAAGCAACCATGGCATGCTGCAAGTGTAACCAATATATGTGTGGGGTTACTTGCTGGGTTGAAGGTGCTTGCTATTCTCGTATATTATGTGTAGAAAAATCTTTGTGGGGATATAACCCTAGATATATTAACCTCAGGCTTTGCTCGCATTACGTCCGCAATCATTAGAGCTAGAGATATTAAATTTGGCTCAATCTATTTTTAAGGTACAAATCTCTTGTCAGAAATATTGATTTTTATTGCATTATTGAGAATAAGTTTCATTTAGTTGTGCCTTGTTTTGATTTGATAGGGTATACTAATTGAGGGAGACATTTGTGCATCACAACGTAGGGCATCATCAGAGGGTCTTGGTCTTTTAGCTCGCCTTGGAAGTGATATCTTCACAGCCCGGATGGTCAGTTCCATATTGTGTTATTCATGCTGCATTTTGCTGTATCCTTTTGTTAAAAATGGGCCTGTGAGATACTGAGAACAATGCATTTGAGTTTATTGACACCTAATGCTCACAGTTGCCAAAATTGTATGAGTGTTTGAATGGTTCGATTTGATTTGATTAAATAGCATTTTTATTTGACTTGAATCCAATATGAGGATATAAGTAATTAAGCAATTTTTATTGGTTTATTTTTGTTATGCAGACTCGATTGTTGCTTGGAGAGCTAAATGGTATAACAGATTCAAATTATGCTGGCTCAATCGCTCTTTCCCTTGGATGCATTCATCGCAGGTGAAATTTCCAAACTTTTTGCCGATTTTCTTTGTATCTGTTCCTTTTTTTGAACTTTGTTGTAATTGCTTTTATCTTCATAGGCTTATTATGATTTTGGTTGCAAATAAGTGTTTTTATGTCTGAGTTCTTTTGCTAAGAAGTGGGTTGTTAGCTTTTAATTGAAGAGTGAAGATAGGTGTAAGGTTAATCTATTTAATATCAAATTTATCCACAAAGTAAATTTTTTATCTCAGCTCCAATCATAATTCTGAGTATTGTAAACTACTTTCGTATATTTGATAGAAGGTCAATTTCCACAATCTGGCTGTTCTATTAATAATAGAATAGAGAATATGGAAAATACTAAAGCAGCCCTAAACCTACAATAGGCCTAACACATAACATATATATCAGTCTTTAACACTCCCCCTCAAGCTGGGGCATAGATATTGATCATGCCCAGCTTGTTACAAATATAATCAATTCTAACTCGAAAGATTCTTAGTAAACAAATCTGCTAACTGCTCTCCTGTGCTCACATAGGAAGTAGATATCAATTTCTGTTGAATCTTCCCTTGTACAAAATGAAAATCAACCTCAAGATGTTTTGTGCTTTCATGAAAAACTGGATTAGAAGAAATATGCATAGCTGCCTGATTATCACACCACGATCTCATAAGAGATGAATCTGAAAAACCAATTTCCTCCAACAAATGACGAATCCACATAAGCTCACAGGTAGTTTGTACCATAGCGTGATACACGGACTCTGCACTAGACCTTGATACCACATTCTGCTTCTAACTCTTCCATGATACCAAATTTCCTCCCACAAACCCACAACATCCTGTTGTAAATTTCCTATCATCTGGTGACCCAGCCCAATCGGCATTAGTAAAGCCGTCAACTTGAGTATGTCCATGATCTCCATATACAACTCTTTTGTCTGGTGTCCCTTTTAAATGCTTAAGAATACGAACCAAAGCATCCCAATGAATAGTAGTAGGCGCTGACATGAATTGACTTACTACGCACTGGAAAAAGAAACATCAAGACGAGTCGCTGTCAAATAATTCTTTTCGCAACTAACCGTCTATATTTTTAAGGATCTGCAAATGCCTCCCCCCTCTCTTGCCATAAGCTTCACACTTGAGTCCATAGAAGTCTCACAAGGCTTTGCTCCAAGCAATCCAACATCTTTGAGCAAATCTAGTTCATACTTTCTTTGGCAGAGAAATATACCCTTCTTGGAGCGAGTTACTTCAATCCCTAGAAAGTATTTTAGGGAACCTAAGTCTTTCGTCTGAAATTTTTCTTGAAGAAAAAGGGTAAGATCATGAATACCTTGTTCATCACTACCTGTAATCACAATATCATCAACATAAACAGCTAGCAAACACAACCATTGTCAGTATGTCGAAAGAACAGAGTATGATTGCATGAAGTTCGCAACAATCCAAACTCCAATACCGCATCACTAAACCTCCCAAACCAAGCTCTAGGAGATTGTTTCAACCCATACAATGATATTCTCAACTTGCATACTTTACCAAACTCCACCTGAGCAACAAACCCAAGTGGTTGCTCCATATACACCTCGTCCTGTAAGTCACTGTGAAGAAATTGATTCTTCTCATCCAATTGGTATAAAGGCCAATTGGGAGTAGCTGCTAAAGAAAGAAATATAATAACAGAGGTTAATTTAGCTACAGGAGAAAATGCGTATAATCCACACCATAAGTTTGAGTATAACCCTTAGCTACCAATTGGGCTTTAAATCTGGCAATAGTACCATTCACCTTTATTGTATAAACCCACTTTCACCAATGACCCTTTTGCCTGATGGAAGAGAAATTAAATTCCAAGTACCATTAGTCTCAAGAGCCAACATTTCCTCTTCCATAGCTGTTTGCCAACCATCATGAGATAATGTCTCAGTAAGAGTCTTTGGAAGTGAAACTGAATCAAGAGAAGCAACAAAGGAATGAGAAGAATGAGAAAGATTATCATAGGACGCAAAAGAAGAGATGGAATGAGTGCGCTGACATTTACCTTTTCGGAGAGCAATAAGGAGATCAAGATCAGAATCTACTGATGTAGAAGTTGGTATGAGAAGTGAATCTGACGACGTATCTACTAGTTGAAGAAGTGCTGCATTGGTGCCATGACGACAGGTGTACACCTGTGTGATAGGAGGTCGAGATGAAAGAGATGGAGCATCAAGGCTAGGATTGCTCATTATATAAATCAAGAAATCATCTGCTGGGTCAGTCCCAGCAACAAAGGAAGGAAGACTAGCAAAGAAAGGACTATACTCAAAGAATGTGACATCACGAGAAACATGATACTTGCCCAACTCTGGTGAGTAACAACGATAACCTTTCTGTGTACGTGAATAACCTAAGAATATACATTTTAATGAACGAGGATTGAGCTTACTAAAAAGGGGTCACATATCTTGAACTAAACAAGTTAAACCAAATATCTTGGGAGGTATAGGAAGTATGGACTGGTTTGGAGACAAGATATAAAATGGTGTTTGGTCTTGAATAACAGATGAAGGCATTTGTTTAATAAGAAAAGCAGCTGTATGAACAACATCAGCCCAAAAAACTTTAGGAACTCATTCAAAACGTTAAGGCTCTAGCAACTTCCATAAGATGACGATTTTTTTCTCTGCTACTCCATTTTGC